CAGATTTAGTTTAGCGTCTTAATTAGTAATAGGCTCCTTTTAAGGTCATCCTTATAATACATAATCTAGTAAGGAATTAGGGGTCCCTTTTATACAAAGATTAATAGTTTTACTCTTCTGGAATTCATCAAATGTTACAACTAAGGAACGAGTTACATATCTAAGATCTGGTATATAGATACGAAACTGCTTTGTTATATTCTCTTTATATTCTATAAATATTCTTATACAGCTATAATCTATTAGCTTATCTTATCTCCCTAATACTGATAGTGATTTTAGATTTATATATAAATAATACTTACATCCTTAGATCCGGATATAATTAATCAAAGATTTTGTCCTAGTCTAAGCTTCTTTAAGGGTAATTCTTTATTTATTTACCTTAAGGCCAACTATAGTTTAGTTACAAATATATATATTAGTCTTTACTGCCTTATCTTATAGTTTAAGAGGCAACTTAGATTCCTTTAATATTACTTAGATATTGTTTTTTATTATTTAAATTATATATTTAGCTATATTATTCTAGCTTAAGGTATATAGGATAATATATTACGCACTAATTCCTATCTATTAGCTTTATTTATTAAGAGTCTATTTAAGTTCTCTAGCATTATTACTTTAGATCGCCTTTAATTTCGTCTTTGTAATAAGTTCTTTATTTTAGTGCTACCTCTTAAGATAATTCTTTGCTCTCTTTTAATCCTTAATTAAGATTACTTATAACTTCTTAGAATAATTATTAATAATCTTTAGGAAGTATTAGGCGCTACTAAGTATAGTTGGAAAGAGGCCACAAATATTAATTAATACAAGATTAAGAAGATTAGCCTTATATTAGGAAACTTGAGTATTTATTTAGTTTCTTATCTTAGTTAAATTATATACTTTACAGATATCTATCTTACTTAGCTTATAGATAGCTTTCTACAATATAGTAACCTTATACAGGTTACAAAGCTTCTTCTCTTTTATATAAGTAAACCTTTTATACTATAGTTTATATTAGTTCTTTATAATACCTTCTTTAAAGGTTATTTATTAGTTATAGTTACTAGCATCCTTATTCTCTTATTAACTATAATTAATAAGTAGTTATATAAGTGTTTAGCATGCTTATTACTAACTATAGTTATTAGAGGATATAGAAGAGGTATTACAAACTATAGTCTACATAAATATAGTCTTTATAGCTTTAGGACTTATTTAGTTAATAATATAAAGGCCTTTATGTTTAATTACTTTAAGAATTATATTGCTATTTTAGTCTTATATATATAGTGCCTTTTTATTAAAACTACTAGAAAGCCTAGATTTATATAATAAAGAACTAGAGAGAAGGCTAGTACTTAGACTAGGTATATATAATATATTTAACAGGGTTATTACTCCCTCTTTTATATATATCTAGGCACATTCTGCCCCTTTAATATGTAATCTTAAGTCTGCTAAATTTACTGCTATCTCTTTAATTCTTCTTAAGGGTCCTTTAAAGAGAGAAAGCTAGTTAATTATATAGTCAGATATACTAGTGTCAGCAATCCACTTAGGGGTCTTATAGGTTAGCTTTTCTGGTGCTATAAGATAGACTTTTGCTTCGCTTTTAGAGTCAGAAGAGAAGTCTTTTATGCTTATGCTCTCTTCTTTAATTACTCTCGCCTTTAGCTTGTTCTCTTTATATTAGCTTGCTTGAGCTCTATTAATAATCTCTCTAATCTCTTCTATATACTCTTTAATATAAGGGCAGTTCCGTTGTGCCTTCTTGAGAGTAGAAGTGGCGTTCACGCGTCGTAGATCTTTGGGATGATTGTCGGCTAGAGGATGACTGGAACCTCGTTGATGAATAACGATATTGCCTGAAGACGACAGGAGTGTCGTTCAGTAAGGATTCTTTCTCAAGGAGTCGTTACATAAGAGGTTCAACATCAAGGAGATGCTCTTCCCGACCATCGATGGCATCTCGTACAGTATCATATTCCGGAGGAAGGGAAGCAAGAAGCTGTTGGAACATCTGGTGTTGTGTGGTGAATGTTTTGAGTGAGTCATCAGTCGCTTTGATACGTCTTCCCAAGCGCTGAATCTCTATCCACGCATCTTCTATGCTCTCCTCAGGCTTCTTGCGATAGTTGACGTACTGCTGTAGGTAGTGTCTGTTCGTTGACGGTCTTGTCTTTGTGTATTTCTTCCTTAGTGTGTCCCACGCTTTCTTTGCTGATGTACATCCTTCTATGAGCTCTTGATCTCCCTCTCTAATGCAGATATGGATAATGTATCGTGCCTTTGCATCTAGCTTCTCCGCCTTCTCAACAAGTACTTTAGTATGTACTAGTACTGGCTAGATTTCTTCTGCTTAAAAGTGGAAGGTAAGGAGTTTGAACTATTGTTTGTAATTAGCACGTGTAAGGATCAGCATTAGTCGTTTCTTTGCTATAGTGTCGTCTATTTCGATAATAGAATAGGATAATAATTAGTATAGAATTAAATTAACTAAGATAAAAAGAATATATGCTCTAATCGTCACAGACTTTCGAGCGAAAAAGGAATGTATTAGTTGATTGCTATTGTACTTAGTCAATCCCAACAGGGTCAATTAACTTACGAGCTGCAATAAGCTGATTTCCGAGTCTCAGGATAAACTATGACGCGATTAACACCTCTGCTCTTGAATCCACAGACTTGTGATTCCGTAGCCCTAGAGTATTCAACTTGCTCACGTTCCACAATTGAGTATGACACGACTGTACCTCGCCACAGGAGTAGCAGCTCGCTCAGTAATCTCAATTAGGCCTTCACTCACCGTTAATGTCTATAGCTATTCTGCACCGGGCTCATAACCTGTTTAACGGGTATACGGATTAGGAACAGCTATCGACACTATCAACGGTCACAACTTGTATGCAGAGTGAGATCACAGTGCATCTGCACGTCAAGTGCAGATCCTGCTAGCGCACAGATCACGTGGTATTTCCTGTGCTGGTGGCACAGGAAATCCTGCACTATACCTGATTAGGAATAACCTGATCAGGCAATATTTGGCTGTACATGTACAGCCAAA